GAAGGGAAGGGAAGGGAAGGGAAGGGAAGGGAAGGGAAGGGTCACCGTGCCGACGCTGTGCCCGTGTTGCCAGGAGAGGGAGCAGGTCCCTGCACATCCCCCGGGCTTTTGTTCCACCTCCTCGCGGACTCGCAGAGCTCCACCCTGAGCCTCTCAGCTGCGGGCTCCGAGGAGTGTTTCGCTTCAGACTTTCTCACACAGGCACACAAGCGGCTCTCAAGCAGTTTTCCATGGCTGTACAGCTTTGCACCTGTGAGTCATTAGACACAGTCCTGCCGCCCTCACTCATAATCACGAGTTTCACAAAGAATTTCCCTGGAACCTGCGTGTTTCCTTAAGGAGAATTCTTGGAATTAAAGACGACAGGAGTAGGCTGTCCGGGGCGTGCGAAGGAGAAGTGTTACACATCTTTAGTTTCAGCAAGTGGAAGATGATCTGCTCAATTCAGGAATGAAAGAAAAAAAAAAAGAGAAACGGGAATGCATTTGCAAGACTGTGGAAAGACCAGCACCCTGTAAGAGGAAATAAATAAGATTTTTCAATAAAATTATAACTACATCTAGATTCAACTAATACAGCAATAAATACCTGCACTGCTTCCTGCAGTAGCAAATGCTACCTTGTACAACACCAATTGAGCAGAGCTTTACACATTGCAGTGTATTATTTTCCTTTTGGATGTGAGGGTTAAAAAGTTTTCTTTTCCATATTCTACCACAAATAAAATTGCACAGAAGACATGTCTCAGAAATGGAATCTGTCATGGCTGGCAGTGCTCCCACATGTGCAGGCAGGCCTGTGGTTGCTCTGGTCAAGTAATGCTTCATCACACACTGCAAAATAATATTGGGAGAGACCCTAAGGACCAGTTGGACTTGGACAACTTCATGAGCCCCCAGTATTTCATGCATTCACTGTTACCTGCCTGGGGGAGTAAATTGTCTCTGTGTTTCCTATGTGCCATGTAAAAGCCTGTGTTTACATGGTTACCATTTCTTTTAGACTCAGAATCAGTTAAATAAGCTGGAACATGGTAGTATTATCATGTGTCTTTTATATCTTGTGACAGAAAATTTCATCTGCAAGCACAGACTATGACTAGGAGTGAAGAGGAGGCAGCTCCACTCCCCCCTTTTGTGCTCTTGGGAAACTCATGCCAACACTGAGAAAGTGCAGGAGCAGCTCCAGCACTGTGACATGGCCACCCTCACTCAGGAGTGCTGTGTTCTCTAAAAACCAGCTGTGTTCCACAGCCAGCCATGAAGTGGGACCACTGATGTCCCAGGACACCTCAGACAAGTTAGACAGCACTGCAAGGGTGTGCAAATGGAGAGGCCTCCCCCTCTGTGCTGTGATTTTCTATCAATATATCACCAGGTTTTTTACAACTCTTTGGTTTTGCCTCTGTACATGGACTGGCATCTTCAGAAACCTTCTCTGTGCAAGATGTGCCCAACCTAGTGACTGTGAGGATGTCTGCACAGCTTTTTGCAGGGTGACGTGGTCTGAGCTGAATGAAGATAATATTGTAGGTGCCATGCCTGTAGAAATAGAAGGAACTTCAAGAAATGCCATGAGTCAATCCCAGTGCTTAGAAACCGGAGATAAACAAAAAGCAAAGTGACTGCTACTGAAATAGATGTTCATGTAATGATTGTTTAAGGGAAGGCTTTGGGTTTTCTTCTTTGCAAACTTAAAACTGCTGCAGAGTTTAAGTGGTCGCCCTCACCCTGCCATTTCTGCCTGCATCTGCATCCCATGTCCATCTGTCAGACTTCCCAGTTTCACAAAAATCCTGGGGATGAGAGAAGAAGACCCTGCCTCAGTGCCAGCTGCACTTCCCCTGCAAACTGGAGACAAATTCCTCATGCCAATGCTCAGCTCCTCAGTGCAGTGCCCCTTTTCCTCTGTGGAAGACAGGATGGCAAGGGCAGGGGATGCAAAATCTTTCCTAAAATCAGCAATTGGCTTAATTTCCTGGTTTAATGCTACTGTTGGGAAGGAAAAACAAAGCTGGGTATTAAAGAAGTGTCAGCAAGAAAATGTGTTAAATGGTGCCCCAAGTCTGTGAATGCAGTGGGTGAGAGCAGAACCTGTTTATAAACTGTAGTGACTGTGCTGCCTGGAGATGACTTCATGCCTGAAGAACTCCTGTAACCTTTTTCAATCGATGCTTTTCTTTTTCTCTCACATAAATGTCACATAAGGACATACACTGCATTATATGAATGTCAGAGATAACTGCCCAGCTATTGTGCTTCCTTTTATTTCCCTTTTCCCTCAAAACTGAGGCCTTCCTTTTTTTCTGCATGTAAACAAAAATTGGATTTGATGACAAAAATCTAATCATCAATCAAGTCTTTCTTTACCAGTAAGATTTTCAGAAGAGAGGAGAGGCAGACATACAAGTGCAGCTTTTTGCTGTGATGATCACAGAGATGTATGTTCACAGTATAATGAAGATTAATCATCACTTTATCAAACTACATCCATTTTTTAAAGCATCTCAATTAAACAACAGCTTAGATTCTGTAGAAGTGGCTGAGCCAAAGATGTGCCATTGGGATGTGCTGGCATCTTCTCTTCCCTGCCTTCTCCTTGCTCACCCATGCCCATGCCTGCCTGGCTCTGCTGCCCCACATTACAGCTGCTGCAGGGCCTGTGCCCCTCCAGCCTCTTCCCTGTCTTTATTCCACACCCTGGGCATCCTTCTGCCAGGGATGGATGATCCCACATCCCAGCAGAGATTTGCTGCAGCCAGGGCACCCAGCATCCAAACCCTCTGAAGACTCTCACAACCCCAAATATACATTGGTGCTATCAGCTAAAAATCCACCCTGGTTTAAGAAGATTGATTGATTCTGAAGCTCTGAATTTCAAGGCTATAAAACCTCTCTGCACCAGTAAGACTGAATACCATTCACATGTAGGTTGGTGGAGTTCAGGTACCTTTTTTCTCCAGGCCCCTGCTTGCCCACCACTGAAGGAGCAGAAAGACTCTTGCCTGCCCTTTGCTGGTAGCTCTGCCCAAGCATCTGCTGAGACCCTGCCAGGGCAGGGGAGCAGAAGGAGCCCTTCCCATCAAAGCCCATGGGATTACTTCCTGAAATAAAAATCTGTCTACTGCTGGTGGGATATTTCGGTCTGCTTGGTTCTGCTTTGCTCTGAAATAATTTCTCCAGCAGCAGCTCAGCCTGGAAGCATTTGGAGATTTGCCTGACTGAGAACTGACTAAAAAAATGCAGACTTTGGCCCTAGTGGTTTTTACATGTAATAGATCATTTAATTAATTCATATTTCTCTCTCTGTCTCTGATCATATACTATCATAGAACACTTGAAAATAAAGAAGCATAAGGTGGTCTGAGGGATTTCTAGGCCTCCTGACATGGCCATTTTCAAGATAATACTAGGAGACAAAAAGAAAGCTTAATCATTAACTACCTGGTAGTGATGTCAGACCTTCTGTTCTCTTGGGTTAATGTATGATTCAATCAGCACAAATGGAGGTCTTCAATATGCCCTTTTACTGGGATTAAATTCTGGTTACATTTTGACATCCATACAGACTTCAAACAAATCCAGTGTTCTATATGCATAATATGGTAATTGTGATAAACTGAAATTGAAAAAGATACTGATAATTATATGTGGTGAAAACGGCTAATGCTGATGACCTGATATTTATTATTAGTTGTTTTATTAGTTTTGTTGCTGTTAATCAGTGAAATTGTGAAATGCTAATAACAAAATTCCTCCTGGCTTAAATCTTACCTATGCCTTGTCTTAAGATACACAGAGAAAGTGAAAATGAAATGTATAGTTAGTGTTTTACATTGCAAATGCAGCACAGCTGGCTGGCATTTTTGGCATGATATATGTGTGGATGCAGCACAAACCTGCCAAAATCAGCACAAAGCCCAGGGTTGCATACATTGCAGACAAACAATGAACCATCACTTTACTCTGTGACTCCAAGGCCCCTGAAAATTACTGTATTTTGTCCTACAGACTCCTTTCTTTAGCCTACCCTTTCTTAAAATATGCTCTATTAAATGGGCACTGTTTTCTATTAGCAGTGCTCCAGAAAACAACAGAAAAGCTGTGCCCTGTGCAAATTTTCTTTGTTTTACAGCTATTTTTATCTATATCAAAACATGGTTCATGCCTGAGCACCAAAATATGGTGCTGGAGATCTGCAGCAAGAGAGCCTGCCCAAGCTCCCTTGGCACTGACCTGCTGGACTCCCAGCACAGGATGAGAAAAGCACTCTCTCCTGTCTGCCTCTGCTGCTTTGGCTAATTCTGGTGTAGGTATTTGTCAACAGGT